GAATACATTGTTTCAGCGAACACTTTGAATATATTAAGAATGATTAGTGCAGTACTGGCAGAAGAATATACAAGAGTTAAAGACTGCAATGACTGCGGAACCACAAATCACAAGGCACAAATCCGGATGTCGTCCTGTTCCAATGGATTCTTCTTCAGTACACAAATACCAAGTAGACAAAAATGTTTTGACCTCTTAATGAAGATGAATATATACACTTGTACAGGGGAAGCAGCTAATAACAGCAGAGATACTTCAATGAAACAGACTTCTATGTCTTTGAACTATATTTGAATGTGAATCATCATTCCTCAGTCATAGTAATCTTTGAACTGTGTTTAATTCTTGTGGTGTATTCTTCTGCAAGCACTGCAATAATCATTGCTAATATATTCACAGTTTTGCTGCAACAGCACCATTTTTTTTCCACGTAACCAAAAAAGCCTCCAGTATGTGCCCGGGGGCATGTCTGTTATGCTTAGAAACAGTATTTATTTTCCAGTATTGTGAACTGCAACTTCACAACCCTTGTGGATCTTCAAGAATAAACCTAATTTCTTTGCTAAGTAATTCTGTGCATGCAGTTTTTCTGGTGAGTTTCAAACTGTGCGATTCTAGTTACCCTACTCTTGAGCCATCAGCTTACACTGGAGTAACTGCATAGGATTGCATTGCCAAGAGGTCTTTTGGCTGACTTATTAAAAAAGAAGATATAGGGAGCTGGGGGATTTGACGCTGTACATGGACTGAGTCAGGCAGATCTCCATAATATTATGTTGCTTTTTATCCCACCCCTCCTCCAAGGAGCCCAGGATGGGATACGTAGTTTCCCCTCCCACTTTATTCTCACATCAACTCTGTTAGATAGGTTACGCTGAGAAATAGCGACCGGCCCAAAGATCATCCACTGTCATAAGCTTCAGGATGCATGAACTTGGATCTCCCTAGTCGAGCGGTCTGGAATGTAATGACATCGACACCAATGCATTTCTTGATGTCCATTGCTTTGTCCACAAAGTACAGGGCAACTCCTGGCAATCTTCCACCAGTGAAGCAGGGAGTCCTTCAGACGTCCCCAGGAAGCCATCCCCTTGGGTGTGTCTGTTCAGAAGAAGCGCCCCAATCATGGCAGAATTCTTAGCTTGGAACCTCCCAATATTGTATTTGCCCCTCCCCAAGGCAGCCACTTTGTGATTGGCCCCATCTCTGATGGTTGACTTTCTATTGTATTTGCCCCTCCCCAAGGCAGCCATTTTGATTCAAGGTTCAACAGGTCCAGCAAATTCAAGGAATCTCCGATAAAAAGACCTGTCTTTGCCTGAGATCCTACAAAGTAGACAGTACTGAGCTATGAGGCAGCTTCATATGTCCTATAGTTCTCGTGGCCCTTTTTTACATGCCCAGGGAAAGGCTAATCGCCACTTTGGGATCAGGAAACAATTTTCTCCAGGCCAGTTTGGGACTGTGAGCTAGCTCACACTAACTCAGCTTAGAGGGAACAGTGGTGGTAGCATCTGTTACTTTTCCTCAAAATCCCAAGGTTCAACATGTCCAGCAAATTCAAGGAATCTGTGATAAAAAGACCTGTCTTTGCCTGAGATCCTACAAAGTAGACAGTACTGAGCTATGAGGCAGCTTCATATGTCCTATAGTTCTCGTGGCCCTTTTTTACACGCCCAGGGAAAGGCTGATCGCCACTTTGGGATCAGGAAACAATTTTCTCCAGGCCAGTTTTTGGCCAGTGATCCTGGAGGGTTTTTGCCATCTTCTGGGCATGGAACAGGGGTTATTGGGTGTGTGTGGGGGGGAGTATTTGTGAATTTCCTGCATTGTGCAAGGGGTTGGACTAAATGACCCTGGAGGTCCCTTTCAACTCTGATTCTGTGTGTTCACAACATTCTCACTCTCCCACCTATGTTCATGGAGATGAAAACCCCATGGAGGAAGGTCTCAGCTTCAGTCTCTGCCTTCTCCACTAAAGGATCTCGGAGAGCAGGCTTAAGGAAACAACTTTCTCTTCCTGGGGCACTGGCAATCCAGACTCTGCCTATATAAAAGGCAACATCATCCTGTCATATTGTTTCAGGTGGGTAGCCATGTTGGTCCACAGTAGAAAAGCGAGATTTGAGTCCAGTAGCATCTTAAAGCCCCAGATTTTTAAATGACCCTGGAGGTCCCTTTCAACTCTGATTCTGTGTGTTCACAACATTCTCACTCTCCCACCTATGTTCATGGAGATGAAAACCCCATGGAGGAAGGTCTCAGCTTCAGTCTCTGCCTTCTCCACTAAAGGATCTCAGAGAGCAGGCTTAAGGAAACAACTTTCTCTTCCTGGGGCACTGGCGATCCACACTCTGCCTATATAAAAGGCAACATCATCCTGTCATATTGTTTCAGGTGGGTAGCCATGTTGTTCCACAGTAGAAAAGCAAGATTTGGGTCCAGTAGCACCTTAAAGCCCCAGATTTTCAGGGATCCTTGAGTCTCAAAGGCTTGTACCCTGGAAATCTTGTTGGCCTTTAAGTTGCTACTGAACTAGAATCTTGCTCTTCATCATGTCAAGAGTTTTGAGGCAGAGTCTTGCTGATGCTGGTTAAGAGAGTCAAATGACCCATCCACTCTGACACAATTGCTGTAGGCCTGCTTGGTCAAAAGACTATTAGGAATTCTCTCTCCAAAATGTCGGTTTCCTTCTAGTCAACCAAGTGCATCTTCACCATGAGACAAATTTGCAAATCAGAACAGCAGGCTAGGCTGAGACACAATGCGAAACCAGTTTGTTAGCAAACTAAATACTGCAAAAAGGAGGAGGTCAGGAGTGGGTGAAGGAAGAGCATATGTGCCACATGTGAACCCAACCAGCATCTCACTTCCCACCTACACAGTCATCATAATTTCAAAGCTGTGTCAAGGTCAGGAGGGGAAAGATGCTTGTTCAGGGGTTGAAATATAGGAGATTAATCTGGGGGTGCCAGTGTTTTTCTGAAGCAGGTGGAAATACAAACCCTTCCTCAAAAATAATTATGACAAGTAGCAATTTGGTGGGTGAGGCTTTTTCTAGCTGGTAGTTACGGGGAAGCTTCAGCGTCTGAATGCCTAAGAATCACACAGGTTTTAAAAGCATAGGAGCTATGCCAGGAAAGAACTTGGATAACCCCAGTCAAGAATAAGAGGCAGAAAGCCTTAATCTTTTGCCAACATGCATCTCTTTTAACATCACAGCCACCCTGTGAGGTAGTTTACGGCCAACGCAAGTGACTTGCCCAAAGCCAATGGGAATGTTATTGCCAAGAAGAGATTTGATTATCTGGATGTCAAAACCCAACATTTTTACTCTGTTCCTTGCTGGCCCTTGCTGTGGAACAGACAGTGGGATGGAAATCAAGAGGTGGGGTGGAGAGACAATTGTCTGGAGGTGGGTGGGGCTGAGAGAACTCTGACACAAGCTGCTCTTTTTCAAGGACAGCTGTGCCAGAGCCTGTGACTGACCCAAGGTCACATCAGCAGGTGCAGGTGGAGGAGTGGGGAATCAAACCCGGTTCTCCCAGATTAGAGTCCACACATTTAATCACTACACCAAAATGGGGACCTCTAAGAACAGCACAGGGGAAAGTGAGAGATCTGCTACAGAAAGGGGCAAATGGCTGAAAAGCACCCCCCTTTCTATCCATGGAAATCCTCCATGAGTTCCCAAGCCAAGGTTTCCCCACCTCCATCATGAAGGGGGCACCAAAATGCATCTCCCAGCTCTGACAAGTGGAAATTTGGACCAAGAGCCTTTTCAACAGAGTGCATAGAGCTGAATGGTCAACTGCGAGAGGATTGCCAGTGTCACAGTGCCAGGGTTCAGACGCCATCGTATACAGCAACACATACTGAATTTCTTTTTCCTGCCTTATCCTTGATGAAAACATGTCTTGTGCCATTCAAGCTGAATTGATGGGGCAGCAGGAAAGCACTGCAAAAGTTAGTTGCAACTAAGTAAGGAATGGGATGAATTTACAACTGAACTACTTGGTCAGCCGGAATCAAAGGCTGCATCATGTTGCTGAACCTTACCACCTCATCCTCTGAGCTGCGGGTTGCATGGCTGCTCACCCCCCACTCTTGGGGTAAGGAGGCCTCACCTCCTCCTCCACATGCTCAATTTTCATATGCATGGAAGCTGTTTTTTAATTGGGGGAGGGGGATTCAAACATCTTGCCATCCCTTGTGCACATCTAAATGAAGCTCCTGAGTGAATTTTGTCCAAGGTCTGGAGTGAGGCATCATCCTGGTGCAGAGGACACTTGGTTTCTTTTCATCTGTATCAGGTGAAGCATAATAAAAGGAAGCAAGACCCGCCCCAAAAGGCGCCAGGAGGTTGACCGCCAAGAAGAACACCTGAAGCCAGCTGGAAAGAGCCAACAAGAGCTGCCTGGGTGCTGGTAGGCAAACACTTTCCCCCAGTTAATGTGGCCCTAGGTAGGAAATTAAAATCGTATGTAAACCGCTCAGAGACCCTTCAGGGTTCGAGCGGTATATAAACGGAAAGTTAAATAAATAAATAAATAAACTGAAGCTCAGCTCAGACAAGACAGGATCCCAGTGACAAAGGTCTGTTATCTCCTGTCCAGAATGAAGTTGTGGTTATGTATGTATACAAGTGCCATCGAGACACTACTGACTTATGGCGACCCCAGCAAGCCGCTTTCAAGGCAAGTGAGAAGCAGAGGTGGTTTGCCATGGCCTTCCTTTAAAGAGTCTTCCCTGATGGAAGACTTCCAAGATCGGGCTATACCATGCCGCCTTCCCTCTCAAGGTTACGCTTCCCCTTTAAAAAACCAGAACCACCGCCTGAAAGTGGGTTTGGACCCAATCCTACAAGAGGATGCTCTTTAGAGAGGCTTCGCTTTCTACTTGAGGGGGAGAAAAGCACTGATTTCCCCCTCCCCCAGCTTCAATATAGGTAACATATTTATTGAAAATTTTCTCCACCAACCATGGTGAAATCATGCCGAAAAATTACAAAATGTCATGGTAAGTTGCTTTATAAAAATAAATGGAAGGATTACACCTCGCTGATTTGTTCCTGCTTCCCACGAGTGTCAGTTTCTCTCTCATCCTTTACAGGAGGATGCTGCAAATTCGATTCCTCTTTATAATATAATATATATCGCTTTAGAAAACTGCATTCCATTCAGAAAAATGGTTCTGCCATCAGAGAGCTGAGGGCCTTGAAGGGATTCTTCTCCTTGCCCCTCCTAAAATAAATATAGAAAACAGCCTCTAACGAAGAAGGTTTGGTCAGTTTAAAATAAAAGGAAAAAGAGAGAGAGAGAGAGAAAGAAAGAGATCCTTTCCCCCCGTTCTTGAGACACACAGAAACAGAGCAGCTCCGTTTAAATAGTACTCCAGCCTTTGGTTGAGTTCAGTTACAGGAAAAAAAATAGTTTTCATAATCTGTAGATGATCTGATGAGTTCTTGATTAAGAGGAACCAAAGACAACAAGACAAAGTGGCACGAATCAGTCAACTAACGGCCAGGTATTCATCGATTATCCTTATTGGTAGTGATCACGATTCCATAAAGCAGCCAACGAGATAAGGTCATCTTTGGCAACTGCAGTCAAACAGAAGGCGTCTTTGGTGGGTGGCCCTGTTGAATAATTTGTGGCCGCTTGACTCTCGGCTTCCTTCTCTTTGGTCTGCTCTTAGCTTTGATCTGCACCACAAAGAACGCCAGGACCACCATGGCACCGAGGAATGCAAAGACAGGGATTGACCCTCCCACGTCCTGGTTGTAGCGTCCGGGCATTATCCCTGTACAGGAAAGCAAAGAAGGCATTTTCAACCATTCAGAAACAAGATTTGTGGCAAGGCTATGGAATCTGCCAGACAATTGCTAATTCCAGCTAGGGACTAGTTCTAGACAGTGCTTCAGATTAGGCTTTCTTTGTGGGGAAAACCAGTCTCATGTTCTAACATTAGCTTTCAAACTATGATCTCAGGACAGAGTCCTACAATTCCTCAATGAAAACATGGGGGGGGGGGACACACCACAATTTCCTCAAGGGCACCTTGTTCACTGCAACCAGCTGTCCCTTAAAATGTGCAACCACAAAGGACTGTTGGTTGCATGCTCTAGGGGCAGCAGCAAAATCCAGCACAGCCTGTGTGAGCCATGAGCACATCGTAGAAAACGCCTCAAATCCTCAGCCACGCACGAGGATTCCCACAGGAGACACACAGAGGTTCCTCAGCTGATGCCAAAGTCGAAAAAATTCTCTCAAGCAAGAGAGACTGAAAACCACTTTTCTAACATCCTACAAGCCAGTAACTGCTGTTATTGGAATGTCCTGGTGATTCACTGATTAACAGTGCAATCCTAAGGAGACCTACTCAGAACCCTACTGAAGTTTATTTATTTATTTATGCTTTCAATTTGTACCCCGCTCACCCCTGAAGGGCTCTGAGCGGCTTACACAGTGCATGGTGCAGAGACCTATGCAGAAACCCTAACTATGGCCACAGTTACCCAATGGAGCTTACTCCCAGGAAAGTGTTCTTAGGATTGCACTGTTAGTTAGAGGAAGCCCTGCTTGCTTCGGCTCCTCCTAAATGGCTTCCAAGGACAGGGCCTCCTTTGTTGTGTCCCCCCTTCCTTTCACCTGTTCCTCTGCTGCCAACTGTTGAGTTTGGGGCAGCAAATGAGGACAGTTCTACTCCCCAGGACTGCCAATGAGAGATGCTTTGTTCATTTTTTTCCCCCTTTGCCTTTGGATTACCTTTTATATTGTGTTGTTTTCAAGGTTTCTATGGTTAGGTCTGGGGGTGACTGCTGTTCTAGCAGGTGTTCTATTTCGAAAACGACTTCTAGATTGCTTTCATCATTTCAACAGTTTTATCATCCTTTTATGTTACTGTTTTATTACCAGACTGCCACTAGGATGGGCCTCTGACACACAGAACAAAGATTTGGTTTAAAACGAAGCGTGATTCACGATTGGCAATAGTTACAAGACAGACGAAAGGAAATACTTTTTTCAAGCAGTAACTAAAGCAGTGGGATACACTGTCAGTGGATGTAGTGATGGCCACGAGTGCAGATGGCTTTAAGAGGGGATTAGATAGATTCGTGAAGAATAGGTCAGGTGACGGTCTATCATTGGCTATTAGCCCTAGTGAGTAAAGGCAGAGAAAATCTCTGAAACCTAATACTAGGAGGCAACATTAGAGGAAGGCCTTGGTCCCTATACCCTGTTCGTCAGCCATCTAGGACAACTGGTTGACCACTGTGTGATGCTGTGTGGGTTAAGACAGACCAATGGTCTGACCCAGCAGGGTTCTCCTTTTGTTCTTATTGCCAAAATGCTGTATTAAAAAGGAGCACTAAATGCCCTGACATCCAAATGACAAAAAGCCACTAATTTCCAGAACTGTACAATTCTGGACGTTACTCTGTTCTTCTGCACAGCTGCACATGCTTCTATATATTTAGGCCAGCGTACTAGATTGCAGGAAACAGTGAACCCTTGTTCAGTACTTACCCCCTGGAATATCCCACGCTCCACTTTCTCCCGGAGACAACGGCCTTACTTGGGGCCGGCTCTGACGGAAGCTTGGCAAAGCCACTTTGTCTAGGTCGATAGATAATAATTTCTGATGTTTCCAAAGGTTGCTGGGAGAAAAGAAAATTAAATTAAAACACTGGGCAGACCTCCTCAAGAGAGACGGCAGGAAAGGACTTTTAGTATGTCAAACCAAACCAGGAGGTCAATGAACTGTCCTACTCTTGGCGGTGTCTGGCCCCAAGCTAGCAGTGGGCCTTGAACTGGTAACCGAAGGCGATGCTGTGACAGACGGCCTCTAGTTCTGAGCTCTAGGCATCCAAGCAAACTCTTGCCTACTGGGGGAGTAGGCAGTTACTTAGCAGCATCAGCCAAGGAGAGGCTGTGGAACATTTTTGCAGCTGGCGGGGGGGGGGGAGTTAGGTGGAGGGAAAGTCTGATCACTTCAGATACGGCTTGTGGAAGTGACAGAGAAGCAGGGAGAACTACCAAGGGATCGCTTAGGTAGTTAGGCCTCACCCGGTGAAGGAAAAGAATTCAGACATCTATAGTATAGGTATGCAGGGCTCTGGGGCCATAAAGAGGTTTGGGTATATTGAACCAAAAATATTGATATTTCCTGATAGCTCCAATATGGTACTGGGATTTGGAAAATAATCGGGGTTCCTGAAATTTTTCCAGAACTCACCGCTTGGAGAAGATGTTTAAACAACTTCCGGGTGAACTCACTGCCGGGACTCCATTCGCACGGCCCTTTAAATGCCTGTTGCAAGCAGCCCTGGAAGGCAGGTGAACTCACGGCTTGGGAATTCACTTGTGCAGCTTGCAAAAGGCACTTTAAATGCCTTTTGCAAGCCATGCTGCGTATCAGCTGGGGCATGTGGAGCTGAAAGCTCGGTGCCGCTTTGGCTGGGGCTGAGTAAAGATCACTGCTAAGGTATTTTTCTGGTATTTTTTGTTCACTTTTGCTGAACGCACACCCCTAGTAGGGGATTATCCCAAGGGACAAGTTAACCTTATTTCAATAGGCTGGGATTCTTATGTTTAAGGAGGAGTCCCAAATAAAATCATTCTTTTCTTTCTCTCTCTCGAACAGAAATAGCTGTCAACTCAGCAAACCTCTCTGTGTGTATGTAAAACTGTAACTGTGTTAAAGCAGAGCTCTGCCATACTAACCAATAACTAGTTACATTCTTTGTCTTACCACACCAAACCACTAAGCATTAAGCCCTTCTGAAGAAGAGGCAGAAAATTTCTTTATGTTGTGAAAAAGGTGTTGGAGTGAATTACCCCAAGTGAAGAAGAGGGAGGAAGTTGTAGAAATTACCTCAGAATCCTATTTTACCTCCCCAGGTTTCCTCTTCCAAACAGCACGTCATCCAGCACAGGTATTTGTTAAAATTGCCTTACTGACCTTTTGCAAACCCATGCTGTCATTAAAAGCAACCTGGTCCCCGCTACTGTGATGGGGGTGGAGCTGGGAAAGTACATGGCCACCGCAGGTACCAGGGCAGGGATTCTGCTTGGGTACCACCTCCCAGCTCCAGCCAAAAACCAACACCAAGGAAGGAAGCTTTGCACCGATGGGCTGGAGTGAGTCAGGTGATACTCTCTGGCTTCTATAAAAGCTTCCAGTCAGACTGGCCAAAGTCACAAATGGTCCTATTTTTGCTAACTACATGCTGAGGGCCCTCTGTCTCGCTCTCTGCAACTGGCAAGTGAGCAGAAATATATACTTAGATATTATGCAATTCACAAGAAATCTGGCATTCTGTATTTATTTATTTATTTTTTAGTTTCTCGGCTGTGGGTCTTAAGAATGCCATCTTTTAATGTTTCTCTCCGTAATCATGAAAGAGCACCAGACACTTTACTTTTTGAAAAAGGACAGGCTGGATTTTCAGGAGCAGTGGGGATAGGGGGCAGGGAACCTCCATGGGGCAAAACTAAAATACCTTACGGACTTTCATTTCGCCTTATTGACAGGAATTCAACTGAACTGATCTTCTGAAATCTTTGGGGGCAGTCCCAATAATTAATATAATAAAAAAACAAAATGAACAAAAACAAAAGAGACCCAGCTGTTATTTGTTAGGGTTTTTCACCATTAGTTATATAGTCTAAGATGCCATCAGTAATCACTTAGGAGTGGAGTGTTTAGATTCAAGATGGAAGTTTTGCTAAGCTTTTAAAACATAAACACACACACACACAAAATCACAACCTGGGAGCTGTTTCATTCAGAGGCTGTGGCTTGGCCCAAGACAAGTGAGGACACGCTGGAAGGGAGCGGGGCTTGGGGTCCCCCAGGTGAGCTTCGAGCACTTTCGAATATCGGTGAAGATGGTTTCCTGAAAATCCAGAGTCAGACAGGCAGAATTAAAGCATAGAAATGCATTTTCCTGCCTGCCGTTAGTAGTTCCTTTTGCTAAGTGTGAGCAGCAGAAATTCTTGCTCCCCACCCCCAAAGCACCTCCACCTGCCCTAGAACTCTATGGTATGAGGAGAACCAGTTGACTGGGAGGGGGACAAGTGGCAGACAGGAACTGAAAAGACTAGAGCTGGTCTCTGCTTTAGCCGTGAAGCCAGAGGACTGAGAGGGGTCTCCCTGGAACAGTTCCCATTCCGAGGAAATCTGCTGGTTTCGGCATCTAAGAACTTCAACAAAAACAGTAAACCTGGCCATTGAGGGATGGAGGGGCAGGGAAGACTGCAGCAGCTGCCTCCCGGAGCCCAGCCCTCTTTCCAGCCCATTCCTTTTCCTTTCCCCATCTGCTTTCCCCAACCTCTATTCCGGCATGCCACAGCCCGTCCAAAGCAATCAAGCCAACAGCAGCAACTGCCCATCAATAAACTGGTAGTCTCCCCCGCTTCCCCATCAAGATCTCCTGTCCTAAACAAAGGAAAAAACTAAATAGCTCTGACCGTACAATTAGAAACCAAATCACCTTCCATTCGCTCAGGAAGCGAATACCCTGCGCCCGTTGGGGGCCGCTGTCTGTTTTCTGAATGACTGAGGCTCGGGGGCATTACTCCGTAGGACGTGTACTGAAGAAGAGAATCCAGCAGCCAAAAGCAATCTGGGGTTCGAGGTTTGAAAAACAAAACACGACATATGATACCGATTGGACGTTTGCAAACCATGTGAAGGCACAACCATATTCGGCATCGAGCCTCCCCAGAGCCTCCTCTCCTGATTCCCCCTGTGCTTCCTCTTCCTTCCAAAAGCCACGACACACGTTGGGGTCCCAACCAATGCTCCCTCTAAGCTGTGGAGTCTTGTGAGCAAAAATTCTACTTGGTGAGCTACTGGCATTAAAGTTGTGAGTGAACAATTTGGCTACTGCATAAATTAGTCTGCTCTGGAGCCATCCTTCCTGAGCGAAGACAAAAATGTGTGAGCCGGAGGCTACAAAACTGAGCTAGCTCACACTAACTCAGCTTAGAGGGAACACTGGTCCCAACCCTCCGTCTGAGAACAAAGGAACACCACTAGGAACAAAGAGAAACCCACCCACTCACTTTATATTTCCATTTATATGAGAGAGACTGAAGGCAGCCGGCTCAAGAAGGTCTTGGGTGGGGGAACTAAACCTGCCTCCCTAGAAAGGCGAGCTTTGAGTGAGGAAGTACCCCATACTGAAGTCCGTTCATTTCTTTGTCCCACAGAACTCAAAGGGTGCCAACTAAGAACCAGCCCAACTGTTTTTCAAGTTAAAAAGATGTGTTTCCATTGCTCAGTTCCATCTAAACCATCAAAACCAGAGATTGTGCTAATTCTGAACCTCCCCCAATCTGAACCTCCCAACCTATAGGCAACCCCCTAGTATAGAGCTGCTTTCATTTCCCATCAGCTCAGCATACCTGTTTCTGCAGCAAGGGGGGGGGGCCTCTGGAAGCAGAGCTGCTTCACTAACTATGCTGTATCCATTCAGACGTGACATGAACCCCACAGTCAGCACGAGCTCTCATTGGCCAGTCAGTTCCACACCTTCATTTCAGGGTGCCAGCAAAACACCCCTCAACCACAGAATGCCACAGTCACAGGCGGAGTAATGGCTGAAAGGAGCCACATGCTGTCAGCTTCATACAATTTCACTGCTTGGGCTCGTGGAAAGAAAATGCCATCCCCCCCGGGGCGGCATGCTTGCTCTTCTCTATCGCACCATCTCAGCTCACACTAAAGCCTGCCTGGCTGAAGTTACAAAACCATGCCCACGGCGGAGAATGTACAGTTTATTAACACAGCGGGCAAAGGACAGCCTGGGAAAGATCGATCGCTGTTTGCAGCCTTCAGAATGGAGAAAAGATTAATTCTGAGAAACGTGCCCTTCGGCCATGCACCGAATTACTGGGCTCGAGAAGTAATAAGGAGGCAAGTGGTAACGGGCCAGAGCTTTCAGGCCTCCCCAGGTCTTGGAAATCAAAGCATAAGGCTCGGCCTAGCCTCTGAGACAAAACAACTTTTTAAAAAATGGGGCGAGACTTTTTAAAATAATAATAATAATAATAACAACAACAACAACAACAACAACAAAAATCAGATATCGGAGGAATTCTAGCCATGGTTAATGCCGCTGATGGCCCAGTAGGGGGCTGTGGCTTCCCATTCATAACATAAAAGCCAGTCTGATGTCATGGCTAAAAGTTAGCCTGTTTCTGCAACAAAGTGTTTACGTGAAAGTTGACAGCAAAATGAACAGGCCAAAGGCCCTTAGCTACCACTAGAGAAGCTCTGTGTATGAGGAAGGAGGAGGAGGAGGGGAAGAAGAAGAGTTGGAGTCTCAGAGTGGCTTACAATCTCCTTCCCTTCCTCTCCCCACGACAGACACCCTGTAAGGTAGGTGGGGCTGAGAGAGCTCTGAGAGAACTGTGACTGACCCAAGGTCACCCAGCTGGCTTAATGTGGAGGACTGGGGAGTCAAACCCGGTTCTCCAGATTAGAGTCCACCACTCTTAACCACTGCACCAAACTGGCTGTATCTACCCTGTAAGTCTGGCATCATGTCTGACACAGAGGCCAACCAGTTCCTCTGGACGTTCAACAACAATACATTGAGGCCAAGGCCTTCCCATAATGTTGCCTCCTGGCATCGGTATTCAGAGGTTTACTGTCTCTGCACGTGGAGGTTCCCTTTAGTCACCATGGCTAGCAGCCACGGATAGACCCCTCCTAATCCCCTTTTAAAGCTGTTTATGCCTGTGGCCATCACAATACCATTTTGGCCTGTGAATCCCACATTTTAATCAACCTCATACCCCTGCTGCGAACTTCAGTGTCACAGAGCTCTTCCCACACACACACACACCTGTTGGGTTGCAAGCCCATATAGCGCTGCCACGTGGGTTTTCTGTTTTTGGGCTAGGTTTTGGAAGGATTTCTTGCTAGTGTGCATGTGTCGTGAATAAGGGTACCATGCCTGCCCCTTCTCTTTGCACACATCTACAAGAAAAACCACCACAGGACAGTGATGTGACGTCAATCAGCAGAGGACAGGATTCCTTTCAACCACAGGCAAGTTTGAGACCCACACTCTGAAGTTCTCCCCTGCCTTGTCTCTCCTCCGCCTGACCCAGCCGCCACTCTATCCCTGACACTTGACTCTCTGGTGTTCTGTGCAGGTGCTGGTGGCACAGAGCTCCCTACCTCCATGAGACAGCTGCCCCTTGCCCTTTCTTTTGTCCTTCCTCCACATCCAGCCTAGCTATCACCAATCCTTCCATCAAGTGATGTCACCTGAAAACATGCGATGCAACCAGGGCTATTTTTGGGCAGGAACACACAGGAACGGAATTCCGGCTGGCTCCTGAGTTGGCCACGCCCAGCAGGAACTCATTAGCATAATAGGCCACACCCAATAGCAGAAACTCATTAGGATTGGCTACATTAGGGGTGTGTGGCCTAACATGCAAAGGAGTTCCTCCTACAAAAAAAGCCCTAGGTTTTGACAACAAACAAGGTAAACAGAATAAGAAGTGAAAGGTGGGTGTGGCTGGATGACCAAACTTCTGGTAACATGGGGGTGTGGCCTAATGTGCTAATGAGCGGTGCTGTCGGGGGTGTGGCCTAATATGCTAATGAGTTTTGCTGTTGGGTGTGGCCTATTAGGCTAATGAGTTCCTGCTGGGCTTTTTCTACAAAAAGAGCCCTGGATGCAACTGTCATGTGACTGTGAAGTCATGACTGCCTTCCATGTAATAGTCACAGCTCGGGGCATCTCATTCTACACCCTGGTCATTAAAAGTAGGTCCCAGGTCTGGAAAGGTTGATGGGCACCATCCAAGAGCATGCTCAATCCTCATTGGCATTTGGGGGAGGATGGTGGTTCTAATTTACAAAATCCTATTTTCCTGTGTAGTGGGGGAGTCCTAATATACAGAAATGCTTGCCCATATTTGTGGCCAGCCTTGTTCCACTGTCCTACTGTAAGTACGTAATACTCTCAAGTCTGCTATTAGGGGAAAAAATTAGTATCAGTAAGTTCCAAATGATTCCAGCAAGATACTTTTGCCCCCACCCAACTCAGGAACTGGAGAATCCCATCTAGTTATGTAAAAGAAAGTCATGTTGTCTCCTCGACCAATACCTTAAGAGCGCATATCTACCACTTAGAGATGTGAACTCATTCCATAACAGATGCTGTGACTTTTAAACATTCAACAGCTTTACTATACTGAGTAAATAACTGCTCTTCCAGTTGAAAATCCACAACTGAAAGCTCACATGAAATGGGTTCACTGACAATTATGCAATTTAATACTAAGCCCTTAGTCAGAACCTCTACAAGCAAAAATGTAATTTTTCCTGCCAACATTGTTATTACGATGTGATTTAGTGCTGTCATTAGAAGCACAATTTGCAGTTTAATGTTCCAGCCAAAGCTCCTGCCCAGAAGCATGGCAACCTATGCCTTTCAAAGGAGCTCACACAGGAAATCTTCCCAGTGGGTTGCGACTTTGGAAATTACAGATTCATCAATGCAACGGATGCTAATTTGCAGAAGTCATGGGATTCTGTTACACACCTTTTTGCCTGTGACTGTCATCCAAGCAGTTCGAGTCACCGTACAAAACTATCCTGCCTCCTCCTTCTGATGGAACTTGGTAGAGACCCAAAATGGGGACGTTTTCGATTATCGCTGACTCCTGCTTTAAAACTTCAAGACCTGGACAAAAAGATGGAAAGGAAATCTGTCAAACAACAGTGTTCCAACAGTTCCCTACAACTAAGTTTTTTTTTCTTTTCAAAAACAATTTATTAGGATATATTAAGAGGTCAAACATATATCATACTACTGTTATACATCCTTTTCTCCTATTTCCCCACCCCTTTTGACTTCCCACAGTGCTCCAACCTCCAGCCCACATCTTAAGTTCTCTCCTTTTCCCCCTTACTTGTTAATCACATTCTACAGGTAACATATCTTTCAACTATTATTCTTATACATTTATCCTTCTTCTAACATCATTCTTTTTTCAATAGTTATCAAAGTAAATTAAGTTGTTCTTTACATCCCAATATTTCTCTAAATATTCTTTAAAGTCTATCCAGTCTGCAAAAAATTCTTCTGCTTCCAGATTGTTAAGCTTTCTTTTCATTTGGTCCATTTCCGCCATAAAAAGTAATTTCTTTATCCACTCCCCAATTTTGGGAGTTCTGTCTTACTTCCAGCACTGAGCACCTACAACTAAGCTTTAAGGGACAATCGATGCAACTCGGTGCTCTTAGATCCAAAGAGCAATCACATTTCCAGAGGTCAGGTTTATTATTTAATGTATACCCCAGTGGGGCCCCAAAGCACCTCACACTGTTCTCTTCTCCTTTGTTTGGCCCTCAAAGCAGCCCTGTGAGATGGGTTAGGCTAAGAGTGTCCGACTGGTCCAGGATTATCTAGCAAGCCTCCACGTAGGGTTGCATTCTCTGGGCTGGGAAATCCCTGGAGATTTGGGGGTGGGACGGGGGATAGTGGGGTTTGGTGAAGGGAATGACCTCAGTGGGGAAGAATGCCGGATAGTCCACTCTCCAAAGCAGTCATTTTATCCAGGGGGACTGATCTCTGTGGTCTGGAGGTCAGTTGTCATGCTGGAGGGATCTCCAGGCCCTACCTTGAAATTGGCAACCGTACTTACATGGCAAGAGTAGGGGATATGAACATGGTCTCCCAGATCCTATTTCGGTACACTAACCACTACACCACACTAGTTTGTGTCCAACCAGACAGAAAAATTCTAGCCCCTCTCCTGAATGTCTTCCTCTGCAGGAAACCTCATACACTTTATCCAACAGTCTCTCTCTTCTTCTGTGCAAATGTTCTCCCTGCCTCCCCTCCCCCCGCTTCTTTCATGAATATGCAGTAATGCCAATCACATGAAAGAACCAGGATAGCAGTTACCTATAGCTCACTGAGTGGTTGTCTGCAGAACCTTACATGTACAAGCCAGCTGTAGGAAATCCCATAGCTTCTTAGACGATGTGATGTTCCCCATTCCCCTCCTCTGATGGTTTTTCCCACCTAGGCTTCACATGAGAAGAGACCGGTAGTATCCTGTTCCCTCAGTTCCCCCAAGGAACTCTCATCAGTTATAGTAAAGAGATTATGGAAAGACAGGAGGATGTGTGACTATTCAGTGCATATCAGTCACAGAGAAGCACCAGCCCATTTTCATCACTGTGGTCTCTGTGTAGCCCCACATAGGATACTACTACTGAGTTACTTGGCAGACAGAAGATGGAAGTGAGGCCTTTTCCACCTCTGCATCTCATCCGTGGTTGATAACTAGGGTATAATGTCCAATAAATATCTTTACATGCTTCAGACATGAATGGACCACACTGAGGCATTATATAGTTCTCTGAACAGGGACTTCTTTCAGGAAGGCAACTGAAGATGACAGAGTTCTGGAGGAATGAGCCTGAAGTTGCAACCCTACGGTAGACTTCTGCTGACAGCACATTTTTATTAGAGATATTATCCATCTCTTCTCCACCCTTTCTAAAGTGCCACAGTTAACACAGAAAAAGATGGGGATCCATTCCAAACTCAAGATCTTTGTAAATAAAGATCTTCTAACATCCAATGAGCAAAGAACTCTTTCACTGTCATATTTAAATTCTGAAAATGAATACAATATTCTGTTTGCTTGAAAGTCTTAGATCTTCATTTGTTGATCTCCTGCAACATGACCAACGATGTATCTTATGGTGTTCCTGACTCTGAATACAACTGCACTGATATGGCTCAGAAATGATGCTTTCTTGCAGACAGGGGCCGCACTTTGAGTTGGTCAGCTCTAGCTCTTTTTATAATGTCTTTTTCCAATGGATCTCCATTTGTGCTGGAACACCCTAGTTGAATCTGACCAACAGGGACTGGTATCACATGCACATGGTAGGGATCGATCCCTACAAACCACTATAGACTCACGGCCCCAATCTTGCCTTGTCCAGAACAACACAAGGAGCTACAGACCACAACTTCTTCCTGGACTGCAGCTGCAGTTACACAAACCATTGGTTTGCCTCTCCTTACAATTGCCATTCCTTTCATATTGACACTGAACCAGTAAATCCAGTCCCCAAACCACAACAGCAAAGGAATGATTATCCTTATCAATTTCTTACTCCCAAGCTGACAGGATTGTCCCTATTTGTACAGCAGCCAGGGACAGGCGTTCTGGGGATTAGAATCAGCCTGCTTTATCTGTTCCCATTTCAATTTATCAGTGCTCTTTTGTCGATCTGGTCCTTGAGATCATTTCAGCTTTTCTTTGTCTTCAATAAAGGTGGTGTTTTTCCTCTGTGCTTGGTCTCTCTCTTTTTTTTTTTTGCCATCAAGTCGCAGCTGACTTACAGCGACCCCGTAAGGTTTTCAAGGCAAGAGATGAACAGAGGGGGTTTGCTATTGCCTGCCTCTGTGAAGTGACCCTGGTATTCCTTCATGGTCTCCATCTAAATACTAACCAGGGCTGACCCTGCTTAGCTTCTGAGATATGACAACATTTGGCTAGCCTGGGATACCCAGGTCAAGGCGTGCTTTGTCTTAGTTTTGGCTTTTAAAGAAGATATGAAGGACAACTCCGATATGAAAGATTATTCCTCTTCTGCTGTAAAGAGAACCATTTATCTGAGCTCTGGAAGTGCCTTCTTTGGTTCCAAGCCTGGAGCTGACAGAACCAAGACTGAACATGACAGCCTCTCCAAGGTGGTGGTTCTTAAGCAATGGCCACCACAGCTTGCTGCTAGGACCTTTTCACACAGTGCAGCTTGATGTTCTGTTGCAACATGCTTTAGAGACAGACTGATTGCACACCTGGCATTTAGCAACATCTTGAACAGATAAGGACAAGGGAGCCGTTGATGGTCATATGACTCTGAACCCACAATCTTCAGTCCTTTAAAAGGGGTTTTTTTTTAAAAAAAAAAATCATTTCGGTTCTAGAACATTATTTTATCAAAGGCCGACAAAGGAGATATTCAGAGTAAACTCTGACATGACGGCTCTTTGGGTCAGCAAAGACAGGACTGTGGAAACTGGGGTTTTACCCCTCCTTCTGCACATGACACTCAGAGGGGGTAAAACACTGCTACAGGATGGGGAGGAGAGCCTAACGCTCAAAGAAGCTACGGAAACTGGTCTCCACAAGCACCATGCCCATGTGCATGTGCAGAGACCGAGACAATGAAGACATGGTAAAGATGAATAACATGAACATAAAAACCTTGAACACAAACTTCATTTACACAGGAAACGAGGTGCTTATTTTTATAATATGATGAGGTAGAGGGGGTTGTTTTAACAGTCTTTTAAACATCAAATAATTGTAGGGGCAAACCCAACCATTACCCTGACTCCCCAAGCACAGAAAGATTAGTACAGAAGGCTTTTCATTTAATTGCAATGAAATATACACACGTACTCCAATAGGCATGCAGTGAAAAGTCTGAAGTGGCCACCAAATGAGTTTTATAAACAGAACCGCAAAAGTTTCATAAAAGTAAATTATTTTTAAAGTCATTTATATAACTTAAATATATTTTTTAAAGGAAAAAACCCAGTTTTGTAAATCTAAATAAGTTTCAAAAGGATCAGGAAGCAGAATATAATACAACTAAATTGCCTGCATTTTTCCTTTTGTTTCAGCAGAAGATAAGGGCAAACACAATGAGCAGAGAGCAAAAAGAAAGGAAGATAAATGTTTTAACCAAGTACTTTCTTATTATGGCTGCAACTCACAGATTTTTCCCCCCAGTCTTATATCAGTGGTTCGGCATAAAAGAAAGAAAATTGGTTGGCTCATTGCAGATACTACAAAAACACAACCTCACGTCACCCTCTCTTATTAAGAGAATTTGAACAAAGGCCCCCAACCCCCACCTGAATGAGGAAAGCAGCTTGCCAATTGCTTTTTCAACCCCTGTAAGTTTCTAATAGCAGCTTCTGATGTAACTCGTTAACCAAAATTTTTCACTGTTTTGAAGAGGAGGGACCCTAAACAAGTTGTGGGACCGACAACCCACTCTTTTCTAAACAAAGACCACCTCCCGACATGTTACCTGTATACCTTCATAATGCCCCTGTCTCAACACATGCAGGCTATACCATCAAATTATTATTTTCTTTATTAGATTTTATCCTATCCATTCCCCAAGACGTTCAAGGCAGCATTTATAGTTTCTTCATTTCATCTTTTCGATAACCCTGTGAGATATGGTTAGGCAGAACATTTGTGACTGGCCCAAGGTCACCTAGAAAGCTTCTGAGGCACAGTGGGGATCTGAACCCAGATCTCCGTTGTCTTAGTCTAACATGCTAACTGCACTAATTCTCATTACTAAAGATGCAGGCTGCCGCTAAAAGAAGCATCTGTCTCAAGATCTCCCTGATTCTCTAGCGAGCAGCAACAGCTATCCTACAACCATGACAATAGGTCTTTCTCCAAGTCTCCATAACTTACTGCCTCTGATGTGGGAAAAGAAATAAACTACTAACAGTGCAAGAATAAGCAGAGTTACAATCTTCTAAGTTCATTACATAAGAACATAAGAGAAGCCAATGTTGGATCAGGCCAATGGCCCATCTAGTCCAACACTCTGTCACACAGTGGACAAAAATACCAGGTGCCATCAGGAGGTCCAGCAGTGGGGCCAGGACACTAGAAGCCCTCCCACTGTTGCCACCCCCCCAAAGCACCAAGAATACAGTGCACAGCTTGCCCCAGACTGAGAGTTCCTATATATACCTTGTGGCTAATAGCCACTGATGGACCTCTGCTCATTGGGCTTAGAAGGTTCCAGCTGTGCTTTAGATATAACATTGTGTTACAAGAGATCAGAGGAGAAAATCAACACAGGGGTACTGTTTTCAGTAGCAGCCCTGTCTTGTACCATGTAATTCTGTTGACCCACACACACACAAGTAGTCAACAATAGTGTGCCGTGTTAAAGCTTTAGCTGTGTGTTGAGATGGGGGCATTATATAGGAAAGATTTGTTTTGCTTAAAAAATCTAACTGGCTTCGGAGATCCTCTTGCAGAATCTGGCAACAACGAACATGGTATGTTTGGAAAAGAAAGGAAAAATAGCTAGATCCAGACAAAATTTTCCAATGGCAGAAGGGAACTTTCCTACCTTCTCCCTCTCACTGCAGCCATGAAATGCTATTCTTGGGGGACAGGGGGCCCTGAGGAACGACGTGAAGGGGGGTTTGCAGGGGAAAGTGGGACTTTTATACCACCAAGCTCAGTAATGACTGACTACCTACACAAAGGGAATGTAAAAAGAAAGGCAGCCCTGTACCTTGATCCTTAAAAGTCTGTGCGATTACCACGCCATCTTCTGGAAACTTTGCAATACTGCAACCCGAAGCATAGTTCACTACAAAAAAAAAAAAGATCAAATGCACAGGAATGATATATAATGCACTCATTTTTATTATATTTTAACTAGAAGCCTGGTTCATTCAAGTTGGCTGCATGCTCTGAACCTTACTGCCCTTTTGAAATTGGATTCCAATACTGAGGCAGCTCTTTAAGAGTCATACAAGCGTACTTTTGTTAGGCGTAGCATTTCCAATCACTGCAAGGGTGGCAGATTTTGTGACTGAGGGATTTCCATCTTCTGCATGTGCCTTGAGAAGTTCAGGGGCAATCTTGGCTTCTAGACCAGACAACCCCCCGCCCCACTGGGCTATCCAACTCACATTCTTCCATTCTCAGCATACAACCTCTCCTGTCCTTGGCCCCTTTCTCCTTGGCCTCCACATTCCCTAATCTCATGCTTATTTATTTAGATATTTATATCCCACTTTTCTGCCCAATGATAACCGAAAGTGGCTTACATCCTTCTCCCCCCTCCCATTTTATCCTCATAACCACCTTTGTAAAGTATGCTTGGACAAGAGAAAGTGACAGCCCTCGGGGCAGACAGCGAACTTCCATGGCAGGGTGGGAATTCGGACCCGGGTCTCCCTGATCCTAGGTCAACACTCTAACCATTATACCGCTCTACCTCTCCTTCTCCCTCTTCTCAGGCCGTATGTCCATTATTCACATTCCTGCTCCTCAGTCCGCTACCTACTCTATTCACTGCCCGCCTTCAGCCTCCATTTTCCTTAAACTTCTGGGAACTCACTCCTATTTACCCACAGACTATTAATTATAGCACCTGTTTCACAGCATGGGCAGCTGTTTAGGTAGACCCGACCTTACTTGCCAAGTATCAGTGAGTCCTGTTTACTTACTTTCATGGCTCGCCATGGTAAAATCCCCTTCGTACAACCCGTCACTAAAAGCCATGCCCCAAACAGAGAGAAGATCATTCAGAGCTGGGATATTGGCTCCTCCAGTATCAGGCATCCACCACTGCCTGTGGAAACAGTAGCACAGCAAAGATGGTAAGAACCCAGGAAATTTGGCCATTTCGCTTGGGGCAAGCAAGAACGTCCAATATCCACACTCAGATCAGCAGGCGCTAAAGACCACAGCGTTCTCTTCAGCACCAAACTCCAGATTTGCAAATAGGCTTATACACTTGGATATATGCCTACTGTAACCAACTATCCAGGTAAGTGTCAAACTCCCTTTGGCAAACTTTAAAATCCCATCTTTGGTTTGTTAAAGATTCAGGGTGTTTTCTCTTCTTCTCCTCTGTATTGGCTTTAAATCTATATAAAATAAAACTTCACTAGATGGCACCACAAAGCACTTGAATAGGGGGGATTTGGTGAGTCAGAGAGACATGGGTCAGGGGCTGCGGCCTGGCATGCAAAAGGACAGACTTTCTACTTCCACTTTGAAGAGCTCAAGTTGCAGCTGGTATAAAGGCATCTTCATATGTTTTTCTGACATTCTTGATAAAGAGAAACTAACCCTTCAGTTCTTCAAAAAAATTAAGCTGGCTAAACTGGTTTCTCTTTAATGATTGCTCCATTTCCACCCTGCTTATTAATTGCCAACTGTTTGGGGGGGGGGGGTTGACAGGGAGAACAACAGCCATTTGATCCTTGACAGTGTCATGTTTGATTTATTTTACTTTATAGAAGGTTGCACACATTTGCAGCGGCTGTTCTGAACAGAACTTCAGAGAGAAATATTGGGATTTAGCATCTTCAGCGTCCCATTAACTTTCCGCCTCAATTCTGAATCTCGAAATGGCCAAAAGGTAAATCACTAATAATCTGCAGCTATTCCAAAAGATCCCGTTACCTTGTATTCTCATCATAAAACTTGACCTTTCTCATCACTGATGTGTTGTACCAGTCGCTGAAGACTATGAGGGACAGACCATTATCAATGTCCCTCCTCAGCTTAGTGATTTCTTCAGGAAAATACTCTTCCTCGCTGTCCACCATCAATAAGGTCCCTGAGGCAAGAACAGAAAACAGTTCAGAAATGAGAAAGCTATTGTGGCATTCTCCTCCTTCCACAGATTATCTGCGGGACAGGTTTAAAATATAATGATTACTTTAATAAAGAAGAAAAGTTACTGTAGAAGCTTCTCTATTAGCATTTATATTTATCGCAAATGACAGGATCCTGTGCATCTCTTTCACTAGCTGAGGCACTCCCTTTTGGGTGGAAGCGGCCTTCCCCAGAGTCCAGATCTTGCATTTGAGGGAAAACCTGAGGAAAACTCCTCTACGAGCAGAATTCATTCCAGGGGCTTGGATCTGCTGAGTGGTTTTTAAATTTTTCCTCCTTTGAAAGGAAGACTTCTATGCCAGGTCAGAAACTTACGAGCAGCTCCCAACATCAGAAGACATTTACCACACAGTGCAAGTTTTAAAAATCCCTTGGGCATGCGGAAGTAATGGTGTGGGTCTGGGAGACCGAGATGACCAAAACCTCTTGCTTGATTCTGGCATTGCCCACAGGTGTATTATCACAAGCATATCTCTTCTCTGACCCTTCATGGAAAGTTGGAACAGACCTTCTGGGCATAAAATCAATCAAGATTTTCATTCAGTGTCTTCACTGAAATAACATTCAACATCTCTTTGGCGAACAGGGAAATAGAAGGGCTGAGCAAAATCTCTCAAGTTTCAAACCCAACATTTACAAATCTATACCAACACTTAGTCTGACGTCATTAGTTTGAAAAGCAAGAAGGATCCAGCCCTGTTCAAGACAAACTTTCCTGACTGAGTCCACACAATCTCATGCCATGGGCTTATGAATATTAGACATCCAAGGTTCCATTAGGCTATGTCATTTCTTCTCACACCATTAAAAACGTAATATGTATAAGGATGGCATGTTACGGTAGGAAACACTTCTGTAATCCTTCAAGAGCTGCACTTTAAGCTAAGCTTCAGGGAAGACCAAACAAGCATGCTCCAAGACTTACCATACTGACTGGCATCAAAACACGTAAATGGGGAGCCCAGAACTTCAACAAAATAGCCCATGCTTCTCAGATGCTGGTACATATCTCTGAAGTTTGTATGAATGTGATCACCATTCCTAAGAAGTGTTTTTTAAAAAAACATTAAAATATAACCTGATTTGCCACAGGGTTCCATTCTACCACTTTAAAATAACACTACATATTCCCTGGTTTCTATGAATGTGGTCACCATTCCTAAGAAGTTTTTTTCTTAAATGTTAAAATATAACCTGATTTGCCTCAGGGTTCCGTTCTACCTATTCAAATAATGGAGGTCAGATGCAATGACTCTCTTTCACTAAGACTACTGTTGCTCCTAGAATAGGGGAGGGAAACCAATACGAGGAACAGAATCTGACTTTTGGGCTATTGCCCTTCACTGATGGGTTAGTATTGCATAAAAAATAAAGTACCCACCAATCTAAGGGATCGTTCTTCATCCTCAAATTATCCCTTGGGAAATACCCAGGTGGATAGCGAAGATTGTGATACTGATCCCACAGGACTCGCTTGCTCCGAGGGGGAGTCGGGATCACTTTCACTTTTATGGGGAGTTTCACTGTTGAAGTCTGGTCGGCACCAGCTTTCAACTGAAAGAAATGGAAAAACAAGACAGAAACCCAAGCATGAGGAAATTCTTCCTGCAAACACAGCCAAATTTACAGCATGCGCTCCTGAGAATGGTTTGGATCCCGCTGGCTTCTTCACTCAATCTCACCCAATTTCTCCAACTTACTAGAAGAAGAGATTGGATTTATACCCCGCCCTTCACTACCCGAAGGTGTCTCAGAGCGGCTTACAAACTCCTTTCCCTTCCCCTCCCCACAACAGACACCCTGTGAGGTGGGTGGGGCTGAGAGCTCTGACACAAACTGCTCTTTTTCAAGGACAGCTGTGCCAGAGCATGTGACTGACCCAAGGTCACATCAGCAGGTGCAAGTGGAGGAGTGGGGAATCAAACCCGGTTCTCCTAGATTAGAGTCCGCGCACTTAACCACTACACCAAACTACAGCTCTCATTCCACATGGCTTCTGTCCATGCAGGTCCCTTGATCCTCAGCATAGTCTTCTGGGGCGGCTGAAGGGGACCCCTATTTCCTTTGCCACCTGGCTGGATCCAACCCATTCATTTTGGTTCAAGTGACCAGACGCACACATTGCATCCCGCCCACCATCCTCACACTCCAAGTGCCCCACAGGGCATTGTCAGATATGGGAAAGTAAGCCTTAAATCTCAAATTAGCTATGGAGCTCACTAGGTGGAACTTGGCCATGAAACTAACTGTTCCATACAACCTGATCTATCACACAGGGTTGTTCTGAAACCGAACGGCACAGTGTCAGCACCTGGGACAAAAAAGTAGGCCAAATTTTCCCCTGATATGACTATACTATTTCTAATTAAGAGAAGAGATTGGATTGATACCCCGCCCTTCACTTGGAGTCTCAGAGCGGCTTACATACTCCTTTCCCTTCCCCTCCCCAACAGACACCCTGTGAGGTGGGTGGGGCTGAGAGAACTCTGACACAAACTGCTCTTTTTCAAGGACAGCTGTGCCAGAGCTTGTGACTGACCCAAGGTCACATCAGCAGGTGCAAGTGGAGGAGTGGGGAATCAAACCCGGTTCTCCCAGATTAGAGTCCGCCCACTTAACCACTACACAAAACTGGCTTTTTATCTTTTTTTTTTTAGTACATAAGGTATCCTGTGATCCGTAAACTGACTCAAGAACCTACAATGGCTGCAGAGGGCACAATGTATGTTGTTTAAAACGGAAGGAAGGAATGAATACAAATGGCAGTTTGGATTACAAGCTACAGTCCAAACTGTGTGTGACTATCCCAAAGAGGCTTTTGTGATTGGGCTTCTTGCTTTTACCTATTGGATGCTGTTGAGCAAATTGGACTTCATTTATTTAAAAGAGCTATACCAGCTGACCCCAAAAGTGAGTTTTGCAAACACAGTGGACAGCCACTACATCACTGTTAACAACAAGACTGGACTTCAGGGCAAAAGTTCAAGACCTCAGCAAAGGAGAGAGAGAGAGCTGAGCTTCACCCTCTTTGCTATATCTCCTTCTCCCATTCTAAGAATTCCAGTTCTCAGAACGCAGGACGTTAATGATTCCCCACCCCGGACCATTGCCCAGAGTCTAAAATAATCTAACTGCACTGCAAGAATCTCACAGTACTTCCTGATATCCGAGGCAACAGAAAAAAACAACCTCAAATACTGTCACATAAATCAGCTTTTCAGGATCAGAAACAGAAAACAACTAGCCTATGTTGCATCTTTCATTACATTCCGGGGTTCCAACAGCAAGAAAGACCCATTACAGGACGATACTTCCTTGTGCTCCTCTCCCCAAACAGAGCAGTTGGTCACCCACAAGAACAACAATTGCACATCCATGGGAAGCAGTCACATGTGCTGAGCAGAACGTTCTCAAAGCACCAGCAGGAAAAGGGAGTCCGGCTTACGTCGTTTTCTGCAGGGGAAGAGACCGTGATCATGACGTGTCCTTGGGCGATGCCCTCCCAGGAGGCTGCTTTCTTGGCTGCGGAGATGGAGATCGCTAGGTACCCTGACCAAGGCCACAAAACAGGGGAATAGGAGAAAGCCACCTCGATGTAATCTCCATTCTGCGGTAGATAAGGCTGCCAGTCAGGCTGTATGAAGGAAAGAAAAATTTAATCTGGTTAATTTTTGCACAAAGCTGATCTATGTTATATTGGGAGGGGAAGCAAAGAATTGCACTGCCAGGTCGCGCTGTTATACATACAGACCTGGTGCAGACCTAATGCATATTGTGGTTTGCAAACAGTGAGCAAGGCAAGGGAGTACATACTAACGCCATCTCTCTGTCTCCTCCTTAACTGCATCTTTAGCACAGGGGGTCCCCCAACCTTTTTGAGCATCCAGGCACCTTTGGAAATCTGACACAGAATGGTGGGCTCACCCACAAAATGGCTGTCACAAGAGACAGAGCCAACCATAAAAAGTCAGGGAGTGAAGTTAGGCATAACTCTGATTGTAGCTCTTCAGAATTTCAGACACAGAAGCTCTGTTTAACAGGATGCTTTTTTTAATGAACATATTGCTTAAAAATATTTTCTTGCATACACTCAAGTACATACATTGAGCTAGCCAAGAAACACACATTTGTCAGTATCTGTCAGATCTCCAATGGCCAATCAGAAGCTTTGCTGGCCCCACCCACTTTCTGAAGTGCCTTTGGCAGGCACCAGAAAAAGTATCAGTGGGTGCCATGTTGCTTTAGCATTAACACCAGCAGAGGTGCTAACCAGAGTTTCTCATCTTAAACAGGGTTTGATATAGTTTGCAAACTGGTTAGTGTTGACTAAGGGTAATGTAGATGTTGCTCATCATCATCACCACCACCACCACCACCACGACCATCATAACCATCATAACAATGATGGCTATTAACTGCATTTATAGCTTGCCTTTCTCACAGAGAATCAAGGTGGGTTACAAAATATAAAAAGCAATGCTATCAGACAGCAAATAATTAAGGCCTACAAGCAAAGGGAGGCAACAATTTACACTGGAAGGGAGGGGATCGCTTTTTAACAAGGCTTCCTAATTGGTCAGCCACAGACTGCAGGCAGGCAACCAGCATTACATCAGTATTGATCAAACCGGAGTGCAAAGTCTCTGGATCTCTTCACAGTTTTCCCTTCAGCAGCGTCAGTATCCAGTGAGATCAGTTGCAGCCCAGCTTTTAAAGGGGCTGTATTACAGGCTGACAGAACCAAAGAGTGTCCAGCATCCAATGAAGGAGCACCCAAAAGTCTGGTCTCCAGGCCAGTGAGATTTCGGACTTGTTCTGATGATCAGACGCCTACCCATCCCAGTGACGTAGCAGAAGTTTTTGCTAGTCCCCTCAATTTCAGAAACAATTTGCATTGTGTTCTAAGGAGTTCCTGTTTGAAAAACATACACATGAACACGTGAAGCTGATTCCTTATGAGGAATCAGACCCTCCAACCCTCAAGGTCAGTATCATCTACTCAAGCTGGCCGTGGCTATCCAAAGTCTCATGTTGAGGTCTATCTTTTTAAAACTGGAGAGGCTGGGGATTGAACCTGGGACCTTTGACATGCCAAGGAGATGCCTCACCACTAAGCCATGGCCCCTTTCCCAAACTACAGCCCCTTCCCCTTCGGCATGCTGAAATAGTTGTGTGGTTCTTGAGATGCTGATGAGAGATATGCAAAGGTGGTATCTCTGTAAAGAAATGTAAAATTTAGAGATTTTTTTTTTTTTAAAGAAACCTATTCCGGAAGCACAAACACATCCATCTTCAAACACCAGTTATATTAAAATGATTATAAGTGTGATATAACTTCTTTTAACAAACTGAGATACTTTTAATAGCAAATGAAACTACGTAATAGCAAAGGCTTCGCAAAGTATCTGAATGCAGTCTTCTATTCTGTCATAAATGCAAACGTTAACTCTCTCCCCATTGTTACGAGACAGACTCATTTATGAATTTATATCTGATACACAAGCAACACACACGGACTGTGCACATTTATTTGTATACCATAAGCCAAAGAAAGCTGTTTGCAATACCTATGCTGAAAGAGAGACAAGCTTCACATAGGGAAAGACTTGCCTGCCTTCTATGTTAATGAAGCATGCACACATTCAGCTAGCAAAGGACTGTGGGAACAAGAAGCACATGGTTTGCCATTGTGATCAGAGAACAACAACTTGGAGACAGAGATCCCCCATTGCTGGAGAGACAAGGCATCACGTATAGCATGGACTGAATCTGCATTTGTGTGATAGCATCTTGTTTACAGCATCCTGTGTTCCTGGGAAAGGCCAGCTTCATCTGTACTTCAAAGGAGATACAGGAAGACCACATTTCACACCTAGCCAAATGGTAGTCCATGAGATAGAGGATAGAATTTCAATTACCCCTCCCATAGGGAATACCTGCCCTCTTCCACATGCAACCAATCACGGTAGATTATGGGATGGACCTAAAGAAACGTGGGATCACGAGCTGGCAGGGTGCCACTCACCTGGAGACTCCACTATATAAGTAAAGACTCAAACCCGAAGTCTTTGCTAGCCACCTTCCCCTCTACGACCTCTATGTCTTTACCTCCCCTATTGTCCAGCTTCCTATCCAACAATCCTTTGTCTACCTTAAGATCTCGTGGACTGCAGCCACTGAGGTCCGCATGCTGCTGGCTGGTTCTAGCAGGTGTGATTTAGATTAATCCCCTAGGTATCATTTCTACCACATTCCCATTGCAACAGAAAAGATTTCCAGAATAGGTGAGTATAAATCGAAATAGCTACCTTTACCCATCTAAGTAACCAAGAAACTATTTTGTATTCTTTTCTGTAACTCTAAAGGACCTTGTATGCTTGTGACATGAGAGACTGATGTTTTTGTATGCTTGATATTGAAATCCTTCAGTAAAAGTCTATTTGTTTTGGAAAAACACCTGTGTGGACTCAGTTACTGGACTCCTAAATTCAAACAAGACCTCCGTAAACACTGGCTAGAACTCACGTTAAAATATAGTTAGCCATTTGTTGTAAAATTAGAGCATTTGGCGTAACACCATTAAAAACAAAAAAGGAGAGAGAGACCAGTGGTTAGTTTGCTATTTTGCTCTCCAGATCACTGAACCACAGATGCTTCAGAGAACCAAGATAACCCAAGTATGTGTTTGCCGGATTTATTTTTAGTGGGAATTACTGAACTGGTGCCACTTGATTTTAGGCCTATACAGGGAACTGGTATGATAGCCTCAACGAAAGACATACAGGTTTCTGAATGGTAGCTGCCCTTCCAAGTTTAGCTACACCACAGCACTCTCAGGTCCTACCTTGTCTACGATTCTTCCAGTGACTCCCATTCCATTAAGGATGGTGACGTTCACAATCGTTGGCATGCCTCCATAATAGATCGGCTGGGAACAATAGGGCCACATGTAGGGACATTCTGTCAAGTCGACATAGCTTGGACTTAGACTGAACAGACAAAGAAAATGAATAAATGTTTAAAAGAGCAGAAAATACAAACAACTGCCTTCATACTCCCCAGAGAATCTCAGGTTGTAAATATCATGATTAAATCAAGATGTAATTGAACATATAATATAATAATCAATGTCTAACAGTTAATATATTAATATTAATAGTAACTAATGGTAAAAAGGCTAGGGTCTAATATATAGTATATAAAAATCTTCCTAATATTAGGTATTTTAAATGTCTGTTAAATGCTCTGTATTTACTCTGATGTTGATCATCCTTGTTATGAATAAGTTATAGGTTAATACATATCTATATCTCCCCCTTTTCCCTTGCTTTCCTGTATCCCTATTTTAATTTAAAATAATAATCATCATCATAAAAAGAATACATTTGAAAAACACAAAGTGAACATTCAGAGATGCTCATATTGTTTTAAGTTAATATGGTAGGAAATAATATGGCAGGTAGGAAAAAAGAGTAAAACTGTTCAGAACTCAAATAGCCAATTGGCAGCCCCTTCTGCCCCTCACCCACTGCAGACAATTTTATCTGGTCCTTTGCTGGCTCTACCGGATTTTAATCAAAAGGCAGCTAAAAGTTATTCAGTAGTTTCACACATATGTAAAGTTTTGCTTATTCATTAAATGCATACCCAGCCTATTGTAAGTAATACTCAAACAGGCTGGAATCCTCACTCTGCCATGGAAACTTGCTGGATGACCTTGGGCCAGTCCCTCTCTCTCACCCTAAAGTACCGGTGTTGTTAAAAAACAGAGAAAGAGGGAATGACATATCCACCCACAAAGAAAGGGTGGGGAGGAAAATGTGCTAAATAAAAATAACTGAAGCAAACCTTCCTTGGTAAAACTGCTGTTACGGTGGGTTTTCATACTGCCTTGCAGAGGCCAGCTAGGTCGCCTGCTTGTTTTCTCCTTCTCTGTGCAAACAAAAACCTTTTTTTTTCAACAAAACTCCAGTGTAAAAAAGTTCAGAGTTGGAGGAAGAGAAGAAGAAGAGTTGGATTTATACCCCGCCCTTCCCTCAAGAGTCTCAGAGCGGCTTACAATCTCCTTCCATTCCTTTCCACAACAGACACCCGGTGAGGTAGGTGGGGCTGAGAGAGTTCTGTGACTAGTTCAAGGTCACCTAGCTGGCTGCATGTGGAGGAGTGGAGAATCAAACCTGGTTCTCCAGATCAGAGTCTGCCGCTACACCGAACTAGCTCTTACCCACTACCCCGAACTGGCTCACTACACCAAACTGGAAAAAACCAGAAGCTAATAAAGGTCTATAGAAAGAAATAATTCAGAGAAAGTCAACCTGCAGCAAAGAGACTAGTATTGACAGATTACGAAGTGCTCACCTGGCCTGGGGCTTATAGCTGTTGAGAATCTGGTAAGCCCTGAGTAGATCCAGTTTACCATGGCCTTGCTCAAACATGTTGACTCCAGGAAGCCGGCGTGCTGATGCAATCAGAGCCTGTTTCATACTAGCTGGATTCACCATTTCACGCTTCTGAACTGTGCTAAAATTGAGAAACACTTGAAATGTTATACTATCCAACAGGTGCTATACTGAGGCAGCACAGCCAAAATGATAAACTTTATCACTGAAAATCTAAGCAAGATAGTTGATCTTTTACTGCAGACATTTGCATAGGGCAGATACCAGAAGCACTGACACTTAAAAGAGAATGCCAAAACATCTGACTTCATTCTGTTCACCTCAGGAACAGAGTGCACCCATTTTGTTTCTTTTGTCATCCATCAGGAGTTAGACTGTCTGCTTAACAGCCTGATCCTGTGCATGTTTACTCAGAAGCAATGCTTCCTCTAAGCTGTGGAATCTTGTGAGCAAAAATTCTACTTTTTACTGGCATTAAAGTTGTAAATAAGCGATTTGGCTACTGCATAAATTAGCTTGCTCTGGAGCCATCCTTCCTGAGCTAAGACAAAAATATGTGAGCTGGAGGCTAAAAAACCGTGAGCTAACTCACACTAACTCAGCTTAGAGGGAACACTGCTCAGAAGGAAATCCCACCAGCTCTGATGGCATTTATGTGTTCAAACCTGTTTCTAAAATGTTTCGACAGGGAGATATTTTGTCCTTTACTGACTAGTCTGAATTATAACACTAAAACAACAGAAATGGCAGCAGACAGCATGGAATGGTAAAAATGGCAATGGAGGTGAAAATTTCAAAAACTAGTGTCATTTTCATAGGACAATGAAAGAAAGTCATTCGGATGACTAAGAGCTGATAAATGTGAGTGTTAAATAAACAAGAGCCCAATGGGCCAATGAAGGTTTTTTACACCTTAAGAATCATTTGAGGGAGGGGAAGGCAAGGCTACTGCACTCTGCGTGTGAATCTTGGTGCTAATGCTTTGAACCCTACTGGACGAGATACTGCCAGTTCAAATCTCATCTTAGCCACAGACTCCTCGCCCTCCCTGTGCATTACAGGGATGATGCTGCCCTTCCTTACGGAATTGTTCTAAGAATTATGGTGATCGTGTATTAAAGAGTGCTCTGAACACTCAACAAAGGGCCACACATTTCCACTCTTGGCGAACTCAGCTTCCCTTGACATCTGGAACTGCTTCCCACAGTTACAAACAAGTTTGTCCCAAGACTGTGGTTAAAGTGCTGTCAAGTCGCTGCTGATTTATGGCGACCCTATAGGGCAGGGGTGGCCAAACTGTGGCTTGGGAGCCCCATGCGGCTCTTCCACACATATTGTGCGGCTCCCGGCAGAGCAGCTGGGGAAGCGAAGGGGGGAGTATGCTTTCCTTCCTTCCTTCCCCCCTCCCATCTATCTGCTTTCTTTGTTTCTGTCTTTCTCTTCCTTTCTTTCTTTCCACCTCTTTCATTCTTTCTTTCCACATCTCTATTTCTCTCTCTTAGACAAATAAATATCATTATCAAACAAACAAATACCATTGAACAAATAAATATCATTATCAATATTTCCCCCCTTTTGTTTTTACTTTTGGCAGTCTCGTTTAATGTTAATAAAAGGCAAGTTTGCATATTTTCCAGTAAAAACGTATGTGTAATATTTGTTCATGTCTTGCACCTCTCAAACATCTGATGCTTATTCTGTGTGGCTCTTATGTTGAGCAAGTTTGGCCACCCCTCCTAGAGGGGTTTCAAGGCAAGAGAGGAACAGAGGTGGGTTTGCCATGGCCTGCCTCTGTGTAGCGACCCTGGACTACCCTGATGGTCTCCCATCCAAGTACTAACCAGGGCTGACCCTGCTTAGCTTCTGAGATATGAGATCAGGCTGGTTCATTAATAAAAGCTAGTGTAAATTGAGCCCACCTACCTTACTAGCAGAGTGACAGCACCTGCCACGACTGGGGAGGCCACGCTGGTCCCGGAGAGGGAGCGGCACCCACCTTTCATACCAGACCCTCTCACTCCGGAGCCATAGGTGACTATATCTGGCTTGACTCGACCGTAACCTCCAGGCAATTCCTTGGGAGGGAAACAGAAGGAAATGCAACATGGGTAGCTATGCTGGCACTGCAGCCTTCAGCAAGACAAGAACTCCTTGGCCTTTAAAACCACCCAAACATTGCCACAGCTTTGCTGCTCCTGAGAAGGTGACTGAAGCTTCCTAGTAACCTTAAAGCCCACAGCTATAGACCAGAAGCTCTCTCAGTCTGCCATCAAAAAATAATAGGGTAATATATGCTTATCTTGGCACTGGAGGGTAGAAACTGTCACAACACACCAATTCATTACTGCTGGTGGATCGCCATCATCGTAACATTCATTCAAGCAGAACGACTAACGATGGGGGTAGATGGAAGTTGTTACAATGTGGATGGATAGGCTGCGATATGACAAAAGACTAGCACCATAGTATTCATTTGTTTTCTTCATTTATACCCTGTATTTCTCCCCATGGGAAACCAAAGCAGCTTAATTGGTTCTCCTCTCCTCATTTTATCCTCACAACCAATTTGTGAGGTGTGTAAAATGTTAAGTGCCATCAAGTTGTAACTGAAAACCCTGTGGGGTTTTCAGGGCAAGAGACATTCAGAGATGGTTTGCCATTGCCTGCCTCTGCATAGCAACTCTTCTTTGGTGGTCTCCCAACCAAATACTAACCTGGGCTGACCCTGCTTAGCTTCCAAGATCTGATGAGCTGTAGCTAGCCTGGGCCATTCCGGTCTGGCCCTTGTAAGGTAGGTTAGGCTAAGAGAGAGTGACTGGCCCAAGGCCACCCAGCAAGCTTCCATGGCAGACCAGAGATTCAAACCTGGGTCTTCCAGATCCTAATCTAAGCACTACATCACACCGGCACTCTGTATTTATAGCTGTATTAGTAACAAAAAGCACCCAGAATGGGTATATGCAGATAGAGCTGTATACGTTCATTTGGAATCTTGCAGGGGGGATCACCAGAGATAAGGAGCAAGTTTTGTCCCCAACCCAGCAGTATCCACTGACACATCCCTTTGTGGGAGTACAGAAAGGTTCATGAGTACCCCCATAGGAATGACCCAGCAGGCAATGCTACACTTGGAGCGCTGTTGGGCCAAGAACAAAACTTGCCCTTCGGCACTGCCAACTGTACAGGGATTCCATAGCAGAAAGGGGGAGGGAAACTGGTCTCTGTATACAGGGCCCACCGACCCACTTGGCCTCTAGGCATCCTTGCAAGCCTTCTTGTCCTAATGCTGGGCATTTTGCTAGCCATGAACAATGGGTCCTAGCCAGTGTTCCCTCTAAGCTGAGTTAGTGTGAGCTAGCTCACAGTTCTTTAGCCTCCGGCTCACAGATTTTTGTCTTGGCTCAGGAAGGATGGCTCCAGAGCAAACTAATTTATGCAGCAGCCAAATCACTCGCTCACACCTTTAATGCCAGTAGCTCTCAGAGCAGATTTTTTGCACACAAGACTCCACAGCTTAGAGGGACTCCTAGCCACATACAATGATGACAAAGTGATCTTAATTTGTATTTTCCCACTATGCAGAAATGGCTTATTTATAGTCCACGTTGTTCCAAAGGTTCTGGGCTGATAAGTAGGGGAAGGAGATCAGCAGAACAACACGTCACAAAAAGCAATGGTTTCCCTAGCCTTTTCCAACTTAACCCTAAGGTAGGTCTCGCTGTTTTTACTCAAGAGGAAGACCAGGCTTGTTTTTCTCCCAGGAAAGCATCATCATTATGTACAGTTTAAAGTTTTGTGTAAAACATTTTTTAGGAAGGACTGTCTTATATTCAGTGTCACCTTCCTTTACAATAAATATAGTGTGATGCTTACAACAAGATGAGGCTGGTCTTGATTCCTAAAAATATCTGTTCTTTAACTGACGTAGCCTTGTGAAGCTTAACTCACCACTGAACAATCCTAAGCATCACATAAACAGCATAAGCCCATAATACTAGATTTTTTTTTTGTTTGGAGTGATGAAGATGCACATTAAAGGAGGAGGGGAAGGAGGAGAATTTGTAGATGCTAACCCAAGTGGTCATTCCCCTGGATGAAAACCGTGCTATATTATCTTCAAAGTCAATGCCGCCAACCCCAATTACATCCATTTGGTCAGCAGGGTTGTTGAGAGTTCTGAAACAAGAGAACACACCCAGTGAGAGAATCCAGATTAATGACTACTTCAAAAGAAACAGGCTTGTAAAATAACCTTTTTATAAGACACAAGAGGTTCCCCCCACTCCACAAAAAAAGACTGCAATCCTATGCACAATTTCCTGAGAGAAAGACCTGATGGAAACAATGAAAAGAGTTTAACTTTGGGAGAAAGGGCAACCTTACCAAGGTCATTCTAAAAGTAAAAGACAAAACAACATCTATGTCATTTCAGAAGGGAAAAAAATAGTTTGTTTTCTGGGAGTTACTGCAAAAGAACGCAGTCCTTAGTCAACATTGTCGAAGTGCTTACCCATACAATGGGCCATCGTTTCCAATAGCAGAGACCATGATAACATTGTTTGCCGTCAGCTCCCAAACCTATAAAATTAAGAAATGAGAGTTTTTGAAACATCATATGTTACAGTCATGAGTACAGAAAAGGGGCTTTTCAATGCCCTTCAAACCACTGCCACGGAGTGCCACAGTTGCAGAACATCCACTCAGATGAAATCCTCACTAACCTAGAGGTTAGTCTGCTCTTTAGGGTGCTTGCCGAGCAGTCATTGCAGGAAATGCCAAGTCAGGTTTTCATGCTGTCTGATTCTATACTACCGCTGCTTCTTTTAATTATCTGTATTGAACTTTCATATGTTGTCTATTCTGCAAGCTACCCTGCATTTTTGAGGAAGGCGCAGTATAAATTTTGTAAATAAAAAGTGATGGTTTCTGTACAAATCTGGCAGGAGCAAAATCATTCTGCAAACAGTGCTTAATGTTTCAGGCATTATTTTGGAGTGTTCAAAGTACTTTACGACGTTATCTCGGCCTCCTTATAACAACCTTTTAAAGTGGGTCAGGTTTATTCAACCCATATGTGGGTCTGAGGCTGCAGCTTGTTGCATTCTTCCAGGGTCACAAGTGATCTCAACATTCACCTATTACTACGGGGATTTGGGCAAGGAGTGGCCTTTTAGGCATCGTTCACACCATCACAGAACTCTGTGTTCATACTGTACCAACTGTGTCATGTTCTCTCATACAAAAAAAAGGCCTAAACAATCCATACAGAAAACTAGTAAACTGGGGAGCAGGGTGAAGCCAGTTTTCTGAGTGATTTGAGGGAGAGGAGACCAGGAACACATTTGATCCAGCAAAAAGTTAACTCCTTAATGGTCTGATTCTATAAAGAAGATCTACTAAATAGAATGATGCTATTCTGCTAAAACAAAGGGATCACTCATCTAACACTAGGGCTTCCAAAACAGTAGATAAAGTCAGAAAATTCTTTTTTTGGGGGGGGAGGAGAGTCCAGAAATAAAGATGCCGCTGCCCAAAGGGATTCTGTTTTCCCTCTTCATACAAACCTTGTCAACAAAAGGATGATCCATGAAGTCTGGGCCCCCAATACTGAGGTTTAAGACATCTATCTTCTTTAAGATGGCATAATTAAAGGCATCCAGAAACCAAGACGTATACGAGACCTAATTGTGAAAAAAAACCTGTTTGATCACTAAGCAGTGTTAAGGAAACATTTTTTTAAAATTGTTTGAAATGACATAACCTCTGCAAGATCAGTTTTTGCTAGATACTGGAAAAGGAACACAACTCCAAATAAAGAGGAAAAATAAAGAGGTTGGAAAAAAACAAAGGAATGTGTAGAGTTGAGTAACCTAACTTCTGTGTTTCACGGTAAGAAGTTAGGTAAGTTTGATAAATGGAATTCTGACTAGCATGGTGGAATCAACTGAATTATGTCTAGATGATTCATTTATACAGTTGGAGATGAATTTGTAAAGCTTTATATTCACTAAATAAAACTTTTATTAGAAAAAGAAGAAAGACATTAAAAACAGACCCTGCATCCGCTCCAATAGAATGCTCAAATAAGCTACCCCAAAAAACGATTCTTATTGAATTTTCTCTTCATCTATTTTAGTTTTAAAATGCCATTTTATTTTTAAATGTAATACAAAAGTGTACATATTTCATGCTATAAACTTTTTAAAAAATGGACAGAACTGTGGCAGGCAGTTTGAAAATAATAACTCTGCCCCCTGCACAGATGGTGTCTCCAGCATGACTTTATCCTCATCACAACCCTGCAAGTTCAGTTAGGCTGAATGATACTAATGGAGTTCCATATAACCTATCAACTTTGTGTCCAGAATGAGAACCTGAATCCAGATCTCTCCAGCACAAGTCAGGTACTCAACATACTTGCTTGAATACAGTAAACTGAATACTGCAGAATGGAAGTAAAATAATTTTTAAAAATATATATCCTCTCTCTTCAATCAAGGCTGCTTACAATAACATAAATAACACACTTAAAACAGAACAGATGAATCCCAAAATATTTGCCCAGAGAAAATGCAAAATACAAGCTCGAACACACAAAGCACAGTCCTATGAAGAATTACTCCAAACTAAGTCCAGTGGGCTTCATCTGGACAAACTCCACACAGGACTGCGCCATCAAGTCTTCCCCTTTCAACGAACAGGAGCTTACAGCCAGAACAAAAGGCCAATTCCCAGCCTTTAGTGAACTGAACAGCATGTTTAATAACATGTCACTGCAGTCAGTTTAAGGAACTTACCTGGTTGTTAGTGAAAACTCGAAATATGTGGAGCTCTGAGTCTGGTGCAAACCCTTGGCATTCTCTCATGCTAGCTATCACGCCTGCGACAAAAGTCCCGTGGCCCAGGCCTGTTGAATAGAAGTGGCAGGTGAAATATGACTTAAAACATTCTGCAGTCACTGTCATAGTAATTTTAACAATAACCTGGGTGCACCAACACCCTAGCACTGATGATCCAAACTATTCAAAGAAAACTTGCTACACTTGTCTCTGCAAAAAAAATAAATTGTGAGACTTCTTGAAAGCATAAAATAAATTACGAAATAAATTAAATAATCCCCACTGATGAAAAGAAGTGAGAACACAAAGTGTAAGAAAAATAAATTTCTAAGTTTTGAAGCAGAATTATAACTCTACCCATCAGCTGGTTACGCGCTCTCTCTCTCTCTCTCTCTCTCTCTCTCTCTCTCTCTCTCTCTCTCTCTCCCTCCCTCCCTCCCTCCCTCCCTAAGAGAAGCCAATGTTGGATCAGGCCAATGGCCCATCCAGTCCAACACTCTGTCACACAGTGGCCAAAAATACCAGGTGCCATCAGGAGGTCCAGCAGTGGGGCCGGGACACTAGAAGCCCTCCCACTGTCCGTCCCCCCCCCCCAAGCACCAAGAAGACAGAGCATCTCTTGCCCCAGACTGTGAGTTCCTATCCATACCTTGTGGCTAATAGCCACTGATGGACCTCTAATCCATACACATTCCTTCTCATACACAAGTACACAGGCCTGAGTTAGGCGGTGACACAAACCAAGAAATTTATTTCACTGCAATATCAAATCAGAGCATCTGGACCTAACCCTGCTCACTGAGCCAAAGGTTGTGCCTCAAGGGCTCCCAAGGCCAAGGAGGATTAGACTGCCTGCTGGAGGGAGCCAACATTCCAGTCTTGCCTCAAACATCTACAACTGCAGCGTGGGGACATTTGCCAAGCTTTATGTCAAGAATAAACAGTCAAATTCACCATCGTCCAAGGTTCTCTCGTTCGTCCAGTTGGTTCTCTCTTTTACATTCTTGAAGTGCGGATGTTTCTCACTCAGTCCAGTGTCAAATACAGCTACTCGTACTCCAGCTCCTATTTGTATAGATAAGGAGTTATGAAGTTATATCCAAATAAGAGATATTTCTTCAGAATCTTTTAAAGGCTTATGTGTGTATGCAACTGGGCTTGAGGAGATAATGTAACGCATATCAACTGCTCCTCTCAGTTGTACGGCAATGCACAGAGAGCTTATTAAATTTATTTTCTTGTACAGAATCTGTACCCTTCCTTTCTGCCCTCATAAGCACCAACAAGGCAGCTGAAAAATTTAAAAAGATACATAATACAATCATATTCACTTCCCCTGCCAAAAAATCATTAAAACCAGAGCAACAAAAACATCAAAACAACAACATTTGTCAGGAAGCAGGGATTCCATTTGACAGTAAAGTCTTCACCCGCTGGTAGCAGGTGACAACCGAAGGAGACAGAGAAGTCTCCCTGGGGAGAGAGTCCAGAGTTTTGGTGCTAAAACTAAAAAGGCCCTTTCCTGAGGTGCCACTCACCTAACCTCAGAAGGCAGGGACACTTGAAGTGGGGCCTCCAAAAATGACCGCAATAGTTGGGTAGGTTCGTAAAGGGATAAACTATATAATCTCATCAGTCTAAAAAAAAACCCTGTAATGAGAACAATTCAGTAGGTTCCACCTTGAGGGATTTGCTTTCTGTTGCAAACAAAAACAAAACATTGAAGCTTGTCTTTCCACAACAAGTTACAATGCTATTGAAAAGAATGTCAATGTTTATACAGCAGAAGATCAATGTCATACAATGGAAAACAGACTTGCTTGACTTATTTTGTTGTGGCTTTCTCATGTGGAATATTAAAACACTGAACAGCTTTACAATTAGCTCCTCCTTACAGAATCTGAACCTACACAATAAATCTATAGTAGCTTTATACCAGTTCAACCGTCATGGCTTCCCCAAAGAACTCCAGGAATTTTAGCTCAGAGAGGGTACCATGGAAGGACTCCTAACCAGTGTTCCCTCTAAGCTGAGTTGGTGTGAGCTAGCTAACAGTTTTTTAGCCTCCGGCTCACACACTGTTGTCTTAACTCAGGAAGGATGGTTCCAGTCGAGAGCAAACTAATGTATGCAGTAGCTGAATCACCTGCCTGCTCACAACTCTAATGCTGGTAGCTCACAAAGTAGAATTTTTGCTCACAGGACTCCACAGCTTAGAGGGAACATTGCTCCTAACCCAGCCGTACAGACTATGATGACTTTTGATACCAGTTTAAGTCCCTGGTGTAGGCATGCTTTAAGACTTGGCAGGACTGCGGAGTCCTAAGGTACACATTCCGCTGATGTATGGGACCACTATTCACAGGCTAGCTATCTCTGTAAGACAATGATCATGCTGGGAAAAGTACTTCCACTAAACTATGCAGCAGTCCAATCAGCTATACACTTCCCGTACTTATGTATACTATTCATAGCTTTCAGCAAGACAAGAGATACTTGAAAAACCTGGCCCTAACCTGGATAGCCCGGGCAAGTCTGGTCTCATCAGATCTTGGAAGCTAACCAGGGTCGACTCCGGCAAGTACTTGGATGGGAGACCTCCTTGGAATACCAGCAGTCGGGAGGCGGGGGCAGGCTTTATTCAGCCACCTCTCTGAATAACCTCCAGGCCTCCAATAGGGGTCAGTCGAGGTCGCCAATACTTCCAGGTACGCGCATGTGCGCGCACACACACACATGCACATTTTTAAAATATCAAAGAAAAAGAAAAGACATACCTGAAAAACCCATTTGCCAGAGCACATCTGCCTGAAGCGTCTGAGCAACTTGTCGGGGTATAGCTCTCAGCAAACGCCTACTCGAGTGCCTGCCAGTCGCATGCCAAAATCCAGAGCCCAGCGACAAACTCGCTCTTCTGAGAGGACGAGAGGACTGCCACTTTTGGGTCCATCGGGTTTCATTGCACGGAAATGCTGGATCAACTATGCATTTTGAGAGTTGTGGAAAGATACATGGAGGTTATTTTCATTTTTACCAATATTTATACTGATGCCTATTCCACCTTAATAACAATTTCTCATGAACTGTATAAGCAACTTTTCTGTCTCTATCATCCTAACAGGTATATATTTCATTTAGTAAACTCTTAGTCTGTCTCTTGCAAGTTTGCCTACATATGTTTATCATATAGGGTTGCCAACTGGCACTTACCCTTCCGGCGGGGGACTCCAGTTCGGCTCTCGGCGCGTGTGCGTGCACGCTGGGGTGGGGTTCCCCCCGGGGCCCGATTCCCTGGCGTCGGGGAACGGGCCTCTGGGGCGGGGGGATTTCCGCCTCCCAGGGGGATTTGGCAGCCCTATTATCATACCAGATCAAAGAGCCCTTAGATACACCCCATACATCAAAGCCACTTCCTAACACTGTCACATTCTAATGTGACCCAAAAAGGAAACCAAGATGAGATATGAATATGGGACCCTGACTGTGGCCCATGGAGTACCCCGCCCCACATCTAAAGATGGAGCGTGGCCCAGCAGCCTCAGAGCCATCCACACTTCCTACTAGGGCTTTTGCCTTGGTGCCAAGCGTGCTGCTGCTGGGACAGGCCCACTGGACCAGAGACAGGGGGAGGACCAAATGGTGGAGCTCCTACCCACCACCCCGGTCTGCAGGGTGGAAGGTGGCCCCAATGCAACCAGTGGAGGACTAGCCCAGGAATATGCCCAAGAGGCCTCAGACTCCCTGGGCTCAGGGAAGAAGAGTTGATTTTTATACCCCGCTTTTCACTACCCAAAGGAGTCTCAAAGTGGCTTACAATCTCCAGTTTGGTGCAGTGGTTAAGTGCGCGGACTCTAATCTGGGAGAACCGGGTTTGATTCCCCACTCCTCCACTTGCACCTGCTGATGTGACCTTGGGTCAGTCACAAGCTCTGGCACAGCTGTCCTTGAAAAAGAGCAGTTTCTGTCAGAGTTCTCTCAGCCCCACCCACCTCACAGGGTGTCTGTTGTGGGGAGGGGAAGGGAAAGGAGTTTGTAAGCCGCTCTGAGACTCCAAGTGAAGGGCGGGGTAGAAATCCAATCTCTTCTTCTTCTTCCTTCCCTTCCTCTCCACACAACAGACACCCTGTCTGGTAGGTAGGACTGAGAGAGCTGTGACTGACTCGAGATGTGAAGGCCCGGAAAAAAAATCAGAAAAAATCGGGGGGGGGGGGGGAAGGTTTTTTCCCCCTTTTTTTCCCTGAACCTTTTTTTTTTTTTTCCAAAAAAT